TGGAGCCAGCCACATCTGCATGTATGCCTGGATTAAAGATCCCCAGATGGGTACCAGCTCTTCTTCCAGGGTACGGAGGAGCCACTGTCTTTCTAAAGAGACAGAACGGAATCTGAACCAGTTAGATTGGGTGGCTGTGGCCATTTCTGTCACATCAAACACATTTTGGGGAACAGGAAGAGGACTACCTCTGCCAAGTGGCTTCCTCTTCTGCCTGCCTACAGCCTAGTGGCTGTCACAAACAAGTAGCCAGTTGATAGAGCAGTGGGTAGGAGGAAAGGTGACTTTGCCAGGGGTGGAGTCTATTGATTCTGGGTAGGAAGGAGGAGCCGGGCCCCTTAAGATAAAAACAAAGCCTTATAGATCTGGTGCTGAGAAAGAAAAGGAAGTCGGTCTGGTCTCTTCAAAATGGAATTGGATTAGTGACAGACTTGAACAGCCGGTTCAGTCAAGAGAGAGCTTAATTCCTCCTGTATTATTCACATGGCTGATTCTAATCAGATGTGAAGAGACAGCTGGAAGAGAGCAGCGGGTCAGCCCAATGCCTGGTGAGGAGACTTCATGTTCTTTTTGCCATCTTTAGGAAACTGGCAAGAGCACTTTGGGTTGGACACTTTAAGCAGGGCCCTTGTGGTTTACAGGCTTCCCAAAGGAGCTAAGCTGACTGCCAGGACACTCATGATTGGTCTTCTCTGGATTCAGTGTGAGTTCTTGTCTTAATTAACTTTCTCACTGCTGCGACAAAATATCTGACACTCACAAGTTAAAGGAAGGATGGTTTATTTTAGCCCATAGATTTAAGTGGTTTCAGTCCATAGTTAGCTGGTTCCAAGGCAAGGCAGCATGGCCGAAGAGAAATAGTTCATGGTGTGGCAAACAGAAGGCAGCAAGCCTTCCTTCTTTCCCTTTTTATTTCATCCAGGCTACTCACCTATTGGCTGATGCCGTCCACACCCAGAATGGGTCTTCCCTCTTCAATAAGTCCATCATCCACATCCAGAACTATGCTAAACTAATTAGGGGACTAATCCAGTTTCACACCCATGACCCAGTCACTCCCAAAAGCCCCACCTATGAGTGCATGAGGCTTTGGGAGGACATTCAGATATAAACCATAACAGTTTTGAAGGACAGTGTATGGCATGTGTGGTCACCAGTCATGTTCAGCAGAGCTCTACCCACTTGTCTACAGAAGGATTCAAAGGAAGTCTACCAGACCAGGGCGGAGAATGATACAGCCACTGTCTGTGAGTTCCTGGTGGTATGTCCACATCCTGAGCCTCTTAAGTTTCACCACCTGCTGAAATGTAATGTATTTGGAGAGCCCACACCCTGATGCATGGAATCACCCCTCCTGGACAAGGCTGGGATGGAGCAGGCCATTGCTATATTGCCAAAAGGACCACAGCCATTTTGGCTTGGAATTCCTGTAGTGGGTGGGACTCATTGGATGCTTTCAGTTCTAGGCTTACAGTGTGACATGGGACTAGGTTAGGGCCTTAGAGGGATCATCTCTGTGGTACTTTCTGGCTTTGGCAAGTGGAGGTATCACTGTACTGTGCAGAGAGGGTCAGGTCAGTCACTGAGCAGCAAATGGACCAAGTGTTGAGCTCATGTACCTTAGGCTACAGAGAATCACAGGGAAACCAGGAAGCTTGTTAGCTGATTTTCATGACTGGAAAAAGAAGACCCATAGAAGCAGTTTATTTATTTATTCTTTTTGGTACTGGGTATCGAACTCAGGACCTTGCACTTGTGAGGCACGGTGCCACTGAGCTAAATCCCTGGCCCAATAGAAGCAGTTTATTTTGTGAAGGGCTAGCTTTGTGCCATTTCCCCTGAGCCTTCACCTTTTCCTTTATGAATACTTTCTGCCTATAGCAGTGCTATAAATGTGACAGCAAGCTTTCTAGCTTGGATCCTGCCTGTTCTAGATATAGTAGGTGGCAAAGGCTCCCCCAGGTAAGGGGAGCCTGCCCACTGGTATGCCCAGCAGGCAGCACAGTCGGCAGAAGCTATTAGCAGTGCCTTCTGAGCTCTCTAGAAAATCTCCTTCCCAGAGGCTAGCCAGTCCCCTGAGCTCCTACCTGAAGGAATGAAGCCCAAGGCTTCTCCTGGAAGGCCTTCATGTCACTGCCTGCCTTCCCTCTGCTCTCCAGCACAAATTGTGCCTCATGTCCTGCCAGGGGGAGAGCATGTGATATCTGAGGTAAAGGATGATACAGAGGACATGGTGGTAACTAGAAGGGTTCCAGCAGTGAAGTAAGTTTGTGTGGTAAATTCCTCAGACTTCAAAGTTCCAGATGGAATTGGAAGTGCCAGGAATTGTATGTTGAAGGTAGAAGCTGGGGCAGCAGCCATGTCTGCCTATGGGCCAGGAATGACCACAGGAGGCTCCCAGAGTCCTTGGTCAGCAGCCATCACTGACCAGTGCAGCCAGGACTCAGCTGCCTCTGCCCGGTGGGTCTAAAGGCTCTGGGCCTTCTGGAAGACTACGGGAGTATCGGATTTCCTCCAAGCCTTCCCTTTCCTTTGGGCTAAGGTCAAACTCCTGCTCTGGTAAGAGAAGAGATTGGGCTGAACCCTGGAGTGGAGTGGGGATTGGGAAGCATCTCACCTGCTGAAGAGAGAGCTTTGCGTCCTAACAAGCACATGCTCAAGTAACTGGAATCTAGCGCTGCCACAGCCGTCCTTTGGCACCTGGAGGGGACAGCCAGGAACTCCTCAAATAGAGGAGCCAGGAATTCTTGGAGCCAGCATTGTGTAAATGGGCAGGAGGCTCTCACGGGTCCCGCAGCCTGAGCTCCCTGCCTGGGGAAGTGGTCAGGCCTCTCAGGGCAGCGCCTGCCCTGCTCAAAGGCCAGCACATCACGTGACCCTACCTTTGCCCACACCCTCCCAAACACTCTGCTCCCCTGGAAGGAAAACAGCCAGAGTTGGGTGGGGGGCAGAAATGTGACTGACGCCGCTGTTAGTAATGACAGCTGCTGAGTTCTCAGCAGGCGCGAGCACTGTGCACACACTTCCCAGCTCCTCTGCATGTACCCAGGGGAGACAGGGCACCATCACCCCCACTTCACGGTGGAGAACTAAGGCCAGAGGGAGTGAAAAACCTGCCCAGGGCCACCCAGCTGGTCATTGGACCAGATGACCCTTGGATCCTGTGTCTCTGTGTTTGACTCTTAAGTGGCTGTGGGCATGGCCCTGACCCCTCCAGGCTACCTGTTCCCTGAGGAGCCTCTTGAAGCCTTCTCAGAGGTGGTGGGGTGGGGGTGGGGACCTGAGCAGAAACGTGGATTGTGTACCCTTTGGTTTTAAACCCTTCCCAGAGAGGATTTTTGTCTCAGAAGATCTCAGCCACCTGAATGTTGGTCTTCCCTGGTTATCATCCTGGTCCCCATTATCACAGGCCACATGACTGCCAGCCCTTCTGTGGTGGCATTGAGGAAAAAGCCCATCCAAATACTGCTCCTCTCTGGAGGGAATTCGGATTTAACAAAGAAAAGCTCTCCATTCCCGTCAGAACTGGGCTTCCAAAGGGGTTCTGGAATTGGTTCCAGTGAAGGAAACAGCTCAGATGCCTCCCTGCATTCAGCTTGTTAGTCGGGAACTTCAAGGCCAAAAGATTTGGCAGGATTTAAAGAGTCAGCTCTCAAGCTGTCTCATTTTGAGCACACTAATGCTTGCCTGTATTTTGTTGGTGAAGTGATCGCTTTGGAGTCTCCCTCCACTGGCCTTTGCAGAGGTGTAGGAAGTGCAGAGGACTCTTCAGTTTCAGAGGCTGTCTGAGGTCCGGGGAAGGACCAGACCAGCTAGCCTGCCCTGTGGTTTATCTTTAGAGGAGAGAGGCTCAGAGTGGTCAGAGGTGTTCAGTGAGGCCACACAGGGAGTGAGCTGTGGACAGAGCAGAGTGGTCATCCTCCCTGGAGTTCTTGGCATTCCTCTGCATCTCACCACTTAGTTACATTGTAGTCCACATCCCATTCACTCAACAAACCAGATCTGTGTTCCTGCTCAGTATGAGGCACAAAGATAAATGTGGGGAATGTGAAGATGAATAGTGTGGACTCCTCTAGGGAATTCTAGAGCAGAGCAGAGAGCAGGGCAGCAGAGGGGCCCTGTGCCAGATGCTTCTACTGGGAAAAGCTAGGAAGTGCCCCAGCGACAGGGACTTGGGAAGTACAAACTGCCTCCAATCCACCCCTCTGCTTTCAAATCTTCCTAACCCTGACCTTCACAGGCAGTATCCTTCCTGCAATTGCTGACCATGAACTGCCCATGAACACTCATTCTTCCTCCTGAACTGATCCTACATACAGCCAGTTGCCTCCCAGCTCATGGAGAGAAACCCCCTCAGCTGGTGGATCACGGGCAAGTCTGCTTTGGAGACACTTGGGGAACCAGGAGCAGAAGGGACAAGCTTGTCCTCATCTGACATGCCTGCCATTCTGCTCAAGGCGGTGAGGACTGAGACACTTGCCCAGCTTTCCTCCGAGCCTAGAGAAAATGAGCATCCCCGGCTGGTGTTTCTGCAGACACCACAGCACAGAAGTGGTGTCTCAACTACTCGTAAGACAGGAATGTAAGAATCTAGCAAAATATCCAGGGACCTTCTGTCCTCTGTGAAAAGGCAACAGTGATGACATTTTCCTGCTGACATGCTTCTGCCCACCAGCCATCACTCCTGCCATGTCCTTATTTGTCACCTCCTAATTTAAATTCTGGGGCAAATCTAAAGTACTTTTGGGCTTGACCACCAACTTCTTTTTTTTTTTTTTTTTTTTGGTACCAGGGATTGAACTTGGGACCTTGTGCTTGCAAGGCAGGCGGTGGAACCACTGAGCTAAACCCAGCCCCGACCGCCAACTTCTTGAACATCTGTTTGAACGGGCATCTCTGTCACTCCAAACCACCTTTTTAGTCCCTGCTGCAGGATAGGGTCCCGTGTGAAGAAACAGACACCCAGTGCCCCCTTTAATTTCTTCTCTGCTCTCTTACAGCTCACTTTGCAGAGCGCCAAGTCCCGAGTGGCTTTCTTTGAAGAGCTCTAGCAAGTGACCCGGCCACTCCAGGATCTGCCACTTCTGTTGCTTCCAGCACCAGTGGGATGGTCCAGCTCCACTGGAACCTTTTGTAGGGGGCTGGCTGGGGGCTCCCATGGGAGCTCTGGAATTATTCTTCAGCCAAGTGGAGAGTCCAACCCCCCCTTCATGTGCAATTGCCTTTGAACTGTGACCCTGTAGAGATCTCTCTCATGGCATTTTAGGTCTTCTGAGTTGCATCTTTCTTTTCTTTTTTTTTTTTGAGAAGTGTTTGTCTTTCCTTGTCTTACGTGGGATCCTATAATTCCAAGGTCCCTGGCAGCCCAGTATGTATGTCTCACTGCCCAGTGCCAACTTCCACGGCCCAGTCTGAGAAGCAAGTGTAAGGGAGTGAAGTGCCAAGGCTGAAGCCTAGGAGGCTGGTTCCACCACCTGTACTCCACACAGGTGAGGACCTGACACCGTGGAGAAGCACAGCCTGGCTGAGTTAAGCCCAGAGTGACCTGTCTGCAGCCCATCATCAGGGAGCTCACCTGAAGCTCAGGACCAGCAGTGATGGGTCCTCACCAGGGCACCCCAAGGTAGGGTTTCTGGGTTTGGTGACAGCTCAAGGCAGAAGCTGTGATGAAGGGCCAGCAGCTAGCCAAGGGCCAGGAGTCAGATAGAGCGCTGGAGGGATCTCACGGTACAGAGTGCTCACACCTTCCACCAGCCACCCCAGCCCAGGGTCTGAGAGGCAGAGGGCAGCCAGCTACATGTATTTCCCATCCCTTAGACTCCTTAGCCTTAGGAGTCTTAAGACTCCTGCTTGCAGTGGTCATGTTCTCATCAGTGCCTTGAAACCTGGCTGTGACCTGGGAGCTCCATAGGCTCCAAGGCCCTATAGGCACTTCCTGTCTGGCCCCAACCACCTGACCTGAGAACCTCAGTTGCTACTGACCAGAACCACTCCCCTTCTCTGGCCATGTACCAGCAAGCCTTCCCAAACCCTCTTTTTGTACCTGTGCCTCATTTGCCATTGCCCTTGTTCCCCTCAAGGCCCTTTATTTTCTTTCCTTTGAGGGCCCAGTAGGGTCCCTTTGGTCTCTCCCAACAGGACTCTGACACAGCTGTCTCACAGCCAGTGTTCACGTTGCCTGGCACACAACCCCGCTTCTTGTGACATTCAGAGCCACCTGAGGTTGGGCGCCACCTGTTGGCCTTTTTTCCATGGCTAGTGTTGCTGCTATGGCCAACCAGGGTCCTAACAGAGGGTCAAAGGATCCTAACAGAGGGCCATTATTCAGAGCAGGTGATACATCTTAATCAGCAAAAAGATTCTTATTAACTGAAGAGGGCCTGGAGATCCCTTGAGAGCAGAGACCATCTCCAAAAGTTTTGTTTAGTTTTGAGAATTAAAGACACTCATGAGATCCTGCCTTGTTTCCACTGCCAGGATGACTTAATGGTACCCTGGGCTGGCCGCCTCTTCTTAGTCCACCTTGTCCCTCAGAAGCCAGCCCCGAGTGTGACCCCAGCCACTCAGGGCATGCGCAGGGTAGAACTCTAGTTTGGAACCTTAGAGTGGATGGATGGCTGCCACTGAAAGGGAGAGTCCTCAGCGTTTACAAAGTCAGATCTGGCTCTAGTGTTTGGCTTTTATCTTTTCAGGCCTAAAACCCATCCTTGAATTTCTGCCAGGACTTAATTTCCTCCTGATCTGTAAATTTAATCTTTAACAGTGACTGTGGGGCATAAGAGTATGATGGTGGTTTATAAAAGTGATGTTGGGCCTTGTTTTTTAATTTAACTGCTGTGTGTATCTCTGAAGTCTGGGAAATTCCAAGCCATGTGGCCACACGGGAGCTGGCTGGCTGGCGTCTGAGCTGTGGCAGGTGCACCTGGAGCCCCAGGGCAGACGGTGAGGAAAGGCGGGAACCACTCAGGCAGGAGTGCTCAGCTCTCCCCGAAGGGAGAAGATGGGAGTCCTCACAATATCTCAAGCCCCAGTAGAAAGATAAAAGGATGAAAGTGGTGCCTGGTTTTCAGAGACTTGTGCTGTAGCTGAGGTAACTGTACTTTCCAGGGAATAGTTTTAGAGGATGGGAGCTTGTCAAGTGAGGACATCTCTAAAGTCCATGGAGATTGGAGCCCTAGCCATGATTATGTCATTGGAGTGACTCTGGCAGCTCTTGGGCAGAAGCATCATGGTACTGAACCCAGTCATGAGGTCATTGCCCAGGTCAGGTTTCCCTGTGAGGCCGTACTCTGGGCCCATAGCCGTTCATGCATCCTGACTGAGGCCCTGCCTCAGCCACAGCAGTACTCTGACCCGTGGTCGCCACTCAGTTATTCATGTACCTGCCAGGCCCTGCTAGACAACACCCCATGGCATTATATAATACTTCTTGAATGACTGTGTTTTGTCATCTGGGAGACAGGTTTCTCTCTCTCTCTTTCCTTTTTCAAAAGTCCAGAGGGGGCCAGGGATTTAGACAGTGGTTCTGCCGCTTGCCTCGAAAGCGCAAGGTCCGGAGTTCGATCCCCGGTACAAAAACAAAAAAAAAGTCCAGAGGATGACAACCAGTGACAGTGACTAAGTGATCCTCACTGACAGGGCAAAGCCCCAGGCAGTGGCAGCCTTAGCAAAAATTCAGCCTCTGCCAGTTGCCCTGGGGCTAAGATAGCTTTTGGGGACTCCTAGGGATGTACCATCCATTTTCAAAGATGTCAAGCAACACTTCCTCCTGCAGGGCCTGAGTCACACCTCCTGTCAAGGCCAGACCGTGGAAGGTTATGTTCTATTCTGGGAGATTGTTGTAATTTAAGTAATTGTTTTAATAAAATCCTAAGCTGTAATAGTTTGTCATGCGCTTTCTCAGTTTTTCACTCAAACCATGGAGGTGGTGAGTTCAGGCCTGGGTTGTGGGCCACCTTCTGAGGGTCTGTGAAGAAAGGACCCCTGACTGCCCAGAACTTCGCTGCTAACCCCTTGTCTTGGTGGCAAGAGGATCACCTCCATCCGTTCTCATAACAGCACCCGAAAACCACCTCTGCCTGAGGACTCTCCCCCTTCCCATGGGTCATACCAAGGTCATGGAAAATGCCCTGCATGGGGCTGAGTGCCTTAGTTTTTCTCTCTGCAGTCCCTGCCCTCCCAGACTTCAGATCTGAGAACAGTGTGCTAGACTGGGGCATCACTCTACGCCCTTCTGCCTGTAGGTTCCCTGTTCTGGGCTGTGGAGAGTGAGGGGCATGCAGAGCCATCAGGGTCCAGGCACCATCTGTAGAGCAGCTGAGACTCAGCTCCTGTTCTAGCACTGGCTACACGATAACATTTGCATTTGATGTTGAGAAATCACCGCTGCAGAGCTTATGTGAATTTTTTGTGTTTTGTGTTTTCTTTTTGGTTGAGGCAGGGTTTCTCACCATGTAGTTCAGCCTGACTGGTCATTGAACTCACTATATATAGTCCAGGGTGGCCTCAAACTTATGGCAATCCTCCTGCCTCAGCCTCCCAAGTGCTGGGATGGATCATAGGTATGTACTACCACTCCTGGCTTGTTTTTTCTATTTTTAATCCACAAAAGTCTGTTATTAAAACCAAAACTACTGCTCTCCACTGAACTGCTGCCAGTTGCCATCATGGACATAAGTGTGTGGAGCCCATCAAGCTGGCTAGGGTCACCAAAGTGCTGGGCAGGACAAAGGGCTCACAGGAACACTGCACACAGGCGCACGTGGAGTTCATATGGAATCCATGAACAACACAAGCCACTCCATCTGCAACGTGAACAGCCCTGTGTGGGAGAGTGATGGGCTCACCCTATTGGAATCAGAGTGGGAAGCCCAGAGATTATACTGAACTCAGCTGCTGGGTCTTGATATGAACACCTGGCCCTCAGGATGAACTGTGACTCTTCATTTGTATTGTGTATAAAAAAAGAAAAAAAAAAACTAATATAGGATAACCCCCTCTAACCACTACAGCCTGAAACCTGACAGGTGACACAAGGTGGTTATCAGGACTTCTGAAGGATCTGCCTGCCACAGGTGAGAATACACCTTAGGTCTCTATCACTCAAGCCAATGAGGAAAATAAATAGCCCATCAAAATAGTAATGTGGGGGCTGGGGATTTAGCTCAGTGGCAACGTGCCTGCCTTGCAAGTACAAGGTCCTGAGTTCAATCCCCAGTACCAAAAAAAAAGTCATGTGCCACTAATGGTGCGGTAAATGACAGATCACACATGACAGTGATCCACTAGGATCACATGGCCCCCTGATGTCATAGCCGTCTTTGTGAGGACACTGTGACATTCACACGAGATCACCTAGCACTGCGCTTCTCAAAATGTCATTAAGTGATGCACGATGTATAAAAATTTCCCAAAATCTTTTGAGTTGATCACTAGCTTTTTTTTTTTTTCTTTTTTGGGGTACCGGGGATCGAACTTGGGTCCTTGCGCTTGTGCAGCAGGCAGCGAAACCACTGAGCTAAATCCCCGGGCCACTAGCTTTTTAAATATATTGCAGAAAGATGTAAAATTAGAGAACTATAAATTTTAACAATTTTTTTTAGTTTCAAATATGGTTAGTAATTAGTTAGACTTGTTATTAGATAAATAATAATATAAAAGTTCTTCATTTCTCAAAGGTAGATTGTTGTTTTTAGTAACTGGAAGTAGTCCGATTTCCTTTGTAGTCAAGCCAGAGAAATCACTTTCTACATACTGGTCCTGTTAAGCTGTCCAGACAATATTTTTACCTAACCTTTTTTAAAAAAGACAACCCAACCCCTAAAAGATGCTCACTGCTCACTGAGATCCTGAGGTCCCCAGTAAGCAGAGTTAACATTAACAGTACAGCCTCATATTTTGGTATCAGATCAGCTGAATTCTCTGGTGGTATTTTTGGTAGGTTGTGACCATGCTATAAACACAGGCTACTGGCTGGACCTCAGTGCTTCATAGTGGCATTCGCAACCAGGTCCCCAAGGGATCCCCAAGTCAGTCATGCTGGCTGCCCTGCCAGTGTTCTTCCTTTGCTGTGGGCCTCGCCTGAGTGGGGAGCGCCTGGCAGCTGCTCCCCAGGGCTGCCTGCCCCAGAAGCCTTCATATGGAGGAGCGGATGAGGAGCCACCCACGTTAAATGAAGAGCTGGCAGCCCAGCTCTGGGTGAAGGTACTGGGGAGATTGTTGCAACTGTGTCTAATTCAATCTCACCCGTCTGGGAAGAAGAAAGTCGAGCCAGTTGCATACACTTCCTCTCCTTCAGACAGTGCAGGCACCTCCTCTCCTCCAGTGGGAGGCCAAGGGTTCCCCTCCCGCCTCCCAGCCTTGCAGGGCTCCCTGGCAGCCTGTCATTACTGCATTACGGCAGGATCCTGCGGCCGGCCGGCCACAGTCGCAGCCCTAGTAGGGAGACTGCAGCTCGCTTGCAGGGAGACAGCCCCAGGCTCACAGCGGTGACAGGGCAGCTCAGGCAAATTACAGGGCCGTTTATCAGCACGGCAAGGATTCTGTCTGACTCAGAGAAGAACCCCTACCGTGTTCTCTCCCGGTTTCCACTTGATGCTCATTTCTCACTGGGGTGGTGGCCTCAGAATAGCACCTGGCATGTTGCCTCGGAGTTGAAATCGAGATACCTCCTGAGAACTCCGCAGTGGAAGCCGCAAGAGGCCGCCTGGCCCTCTGCTCCCCTAAGCCAATGAGCTGTGCTGCTCTGCTCTGGGCCAAGGTGGAGGCTGCCTCTGCCTTTCCCTGGGGCCAGGCGTTTCACCCTCTCTGTAAAGACAGTTGACAGTGGCACCTCTGGATGCCTCAAGGGTGTTGCCAGGATAACATAAAGAACAGATGCAAAAAGTACTCTGATTTCTAAGAAAAAGGGGGTGTGTATATGTAGCAGTACTGCCATCATTTACAAGAAATAGAGGCTGGTGACATGAAAGAAATCTTTTCCTTACCACCGGCCATAGGGTGAGCTGGGGCAACAGCCTGACCTAGCTGAGGGGCTCAGAGCCCTCCCTGACTCAGTCCTCAGACAATCCTGGGTTCAAGTCCCTGCTAGGCTACTTCCCAGCCATTGCAAGTTTCCTTATCTGTAAAATGGGAATTCTAGAGGGTTTTGGGGGGACTAACAATACTTGGAGTACAGTGCCTAAATGCTTGGCATTGCTCCGGGTTGTAGTTCTTTCTTTGAGTACTTTTCTTTTTGGTACCGGGGTTCGAACTCTGGTCCTTGTGCTTTCGAGGCAGGCAGCAGAACCACTAAGCTAATCCCCCACACTTCTTTGAATACTTTCTTTTGGAGGCAGGAGGATCCAAAAAGCAGCCAAGGTGACTGAGAGGATGTTACAGCTCAGAAGCACCAGGGCCACCTCCTCCCCCATGTGTCCCACCTGCACCCAGAGCTTAATGAACCTGCATCTGGCCTGTTTGTCCTCGCTATTTGCCCAGTGCCAGATGCAAAGCCTGGGGAATGATAGATAACTCTGGACTGGGGCTGCCGGGGAAAGGTGTTCTTGTTTTTTCACATTAATATCCCTCCCTCAGGTCAATCATTTACTGGAGGCTCAGGGCAGGAGAGGCGCTGGGCCAGCCACACTTGACTCGGCACACAGAGCTCTTCCACATGCCTGTGGGTACCTGGGCTTAAAAAACTCAACTGCAGACACCAGGGAGGCACAGCAGTGACCTAATTTCCCTTATCAGGCATAAGGAAGAAGTCCCCATGGAGCCTTGCCCATTTCCAATATAAATAATGTAATTCCCCTGCCTGCCTGGTTGAGGAGGAAGGGGCAGCCTTTGATCTGAAGGAATTAAGTCAGTAAACAAAAGCAAAGAAGGCTGCGGAGGTGTCTTATGACAGCCACCTGCTGTGGCATTTACCCTTGAGAGAGAGGAGTTACATTTCCACCAACTGCTGGGTACAGCCCAGCCTAGATCTCCCCAAGTCTCTCTTTATCCCCAGCTGAGCCCAGGTGATACCATCCCCAGGCCCCTAGCACATACCTCCAGCCAAGCTACATGTGTAATCTCTCCACCCTCACCAGGAGCAACCTTTCTTAGCCTGGGTCCTGTGTATTTCTAAGTGGAGGACAACATTCAGGAAGTATGTGTGAAGTCCGAGTGGCCTGGGATCCACAGCTTAGCCCCTGAGCCCCAGGCTGGATAGGGCCTCCTGGCTGGGAGGAAGGGCCCTGTGGCTGGCAGAGGAGCCCAACTATCTATCCAGCCCAGGCTTCGGGAAAGCTGGCCACAGGAGGTTTTGGTCCCTCCAGCTCTCTGCTTCTGTTGTGGGGCCTTGAGTAAGTCCTTGCCATTCTCTGGGCTTCCATGCCTGAGCTGTGGAAGGTCAAGTTTGGGCCAGATAAACACTGAGGCCCCCTAAGTTCCAGCTCCACAGGCTGGTCTCCTCAGGTGCTTTAAAACCAGTGTCACTCTCTGGAACAAAAAAAGGGTTACTGGGCCCATAACAGGGGTGGCCCACAGCCTTGACCATGAGCTGAACTAGATCCAGATGCTCTGGGCCTAGTTTAGGGGATCCCTTTAGTCCCATTGTTTCTCCATGCCCCATGGTTCTCTGGCACATATTGGGGAGGGGCCCTGTGGTGGTTCCGGCTTATGGCTTAATGGGAAGAGCGGTATGGCAGGGGGTTGATATAGCCACTCTGAGCTTTCCCACCACCTCCTTGCAAGCAGCAAGTCCCAGGTCCTGTAAGCCTGGGCAGAGGATGAGGATGGCGTGAGCCACAGCCTTGGTCAGGGATGCTGCGACAGTTGCTCTGCCCTGAAACCCACAGGGACCTCCCTGCTTTGCCCACAGCCGATCCCTCCCCAACCCCTCCTTCCAGTCTTCTA